AACTGTACAGATCCCCGATAATGAAGGCAAACAGCAGGGCGTCATCGCTTGCCGCTGGCGCCGGTCTTTGTCTTTGTCTTTGTCCCGCCGGCCACTATAAAATATATATAAAAAATATTAAAAAAAAGAGAAACAACAAAAAAAGTCCAGTTAAAGTGCCAACTAATATACAAGTGGTCGCTTGAGAGGGAGGTAAAGAGGGGCAGTGGAGGAACCCGAGGGGGCGTTGTGTGTGTTTTCTTATCAAAAAGCAAAGCAGCGCCAGGCGGCGCTCTCAGTTTGGCCAATTTAATTTGTTACAAATTGTGAAGTGTTGTGTGTGTTTATTTTTGTTGTATTTTTGTTTAATGTAGAAGTGGGCGAGGGGGAGGGGAAGGGGGAGAGGGGGTGGTGCCACAGGCGAAACTTCCATTGAAAAAGCTACGCAATAAAATAATTTCATGGTCAGCAAACAAACATACACACACACACACACAAGGCACTGATATATGGATAGATAGCGCAAAAAAGCGCAAAACTAACGCAAAAAATTGCTTTGTCCCCAAAATGTACAAATAATCAGTTTTTTTTTCACTCTTTGTGTTACGTATTGACGTAGCGTTCGTTCAGTGTTACTGCTACGTAATAAAAACAAGTAGAAAAAATGTTCAAGATGCTATTCAAGTTTACATAGTTTTAATTGACATTTTTAAGACAATTTATTGGTAGTATTTTGAGTTTTTTTGGAGAGCAAATTATTAAATATTATTGAAATTTTTCAATTACTTTTAGTTTTTTTTTAACAGATATTTTCTGTGTTTCAAATTTTATTTGTGATTCAAAAATTAAATTTGATGCTAGATATTTGTTTTAAAACGTGTATATAATTAAATCATAAAGTTAATATCTTGCATTTTATATGAAATCATCAAAAGATCATCTTATTATTCAACTAACAATTAATTACAAAAAATATTATTTTCATTTGCATTATTATTTTTTTTTTTTTTGATAGAGAAACTATCTGTTTAAAATTCTATTGGTCATTTTTAAATTAAATTAAAATTAGCTAGCTATTTGGTTCATAAAAAGTGTAGATAATTAAGGCATAAACATCTTATATGATATATTAAATAATCAAGAGATCAACACAATATTATTTAAAAAGTATTTAGGAGGTTTGTTTTGCAGTATAAGTATAATATAATAAATATAATAATAATTACAAGAATATGATTTATGTACATTTGCTTTTGTATTTTTTCTTATAGGGTTTTTACCTTTAAATCATAAATAAATTTAATAAACTAAAACAAGTGCTAAATATTTGTCAAAAAAAAAAGTAAATAATTCAGGTTTAAGAAGAATATCTTGAATTTTTATGCATTTTAAAAATATGAATCACCTTTGCAGTATAAATTTAACTACAAAACTATTATTTGCATTTACTTTTATTTTTTATTTTATATTTCTATTTTCTGATTCTAATTTTATTTACCATTTACACATTTAATGAAGAGCTAGTTTGGTGCAAGAGTTCAATTAATAATTTTTTTTTTATAATTGATTTAATTGTAAAGCCCTTTTGCAGTCTAATTATAATTACCGCAAAAACAAGGCCAGACAAAAAAAAAGAGATATAAAATGTATTTGTAAACCTTATTTCCATTAAGAAAAAAAAAGATACAAAATGTATTTGTAAACCTTATTTTTCGCTTAACTTTACTGAATCGAAATCTAGGGCTTCGATTTTGATGTATTAGTTACTTGAGTTTCAAGCCACTGAAAACCGGTTGACCAAAAGGCATTTTCCCTGCCAAAAAAAAAAGAAAGAAAGAAACAAAATCAACTTGAAGTCAATTTGCACAAAGTTAATAAATTACAGCATTGACTGTCTTTGTTGCTGATGTTGGTGTTGTTGTTGTTGTTGGTGTTGTTGGTGTTGGTGTTGGTGTTGTTGTTGGTGTTGTTGTTGGTGTTGGTGTTGGTGTTGGTGTTGGTGTTACTGTTGCTGTTGTTGCTGCTGTTGGTGTTGCAGCTATTACTGTTGCTGTTGTTGCTGCTGCTGTTGTTGCTGCTGATTTTGGTGTTGCTCTTGGTTTAAAATTTGAAAATTTCGATTTCGCTGCGACTGGCACTGCCATTGGTGATGACGTAAGTTGCGTGTGCGACGTCAGTTGACCTTGGTACACTTAACAGCAGCCACACACATCCAGTTCAGTAACAACAACGTCACCAAATAGGCTCGAACCCCAAAAAGAAAAAAACTGCTGTTGTTACCTCCATTTCTTCGGTTATATTTCGTATGTACATATATCATTTTTCGGTTTCGGTTTCGGTTTGTTGCTAGGCCGAGCTTGAACCTTTTTTGTATCTTATTTATTTTATTTTCTTACTTTATTTTTTTGGGAGGGAAACCTCATGAGGAGATTGCATAAGGTTCATGCTGCGTCAAATGGCAAAGGGAAAGTGGGCATGAATGATGATGATGATAATGATGATGGTTTCCAACCTCATTCAGCCTCATCTTAACTGAAAGCGAAGCTTAAAATTGAGGCAAGCTTCATTTGAATATTATTGGGTCACTGTGTCAGAGCAGAGTCAATAAAAATTAAAACATGACCTCCTGTCCCGCCCCTCATACGGTATGCTCGTCGGCACTCTTACTCACACCACTTCCACTGACCGCAACCGAAGACACCAGGGGTCACAAAAATAGTTATTGAAATTGCATTAACAAATAAACAATAATACTGATCGAAATTGCATTAAAAAATAAATTAAATACTGACTAAAATTGTATTAAAAATAAACTAAATACTGACTAAAATTGTATTAAAAAATAAAATAAATACTGACTAAAATTGTATTACAAAATATACAAAAACACTGACTATAATCGAGTATAATATTTTAATAGAGTTTCCCTCAATATTTGTTTTGATTTAATAGTAAAACTACTTAAGCTTCTTTATAGTAAACTATTAGAAAAATATTCCAAAATATACCGATATATTGATACTGTATCGATATGAGTCGCATAAATTTCAATCTGCGTGCAATAAAGGTTTGTTCTGTTCAATTTATCGAATCAATATACTCGGAAAATAAACTTAAATAAATGAAATATTATATTAACGATATTTTTCAATCAAATCAAATCAAATCAAATTTTAAAGTTAAAGGCAATATTTTTCGAATATTTATAATTTCGACTTAACAAATTTCAAATTATTTTTGAAATGATATTACGAATGCCTTGTTTTTAAATTTTTTCTTGCACAATACATGCCCAGTTTATAGTTCTCGATACTTATTGATATTTAAACTTTCGATATAAAAAAGCTATAGATAATTTCGAAATAATATTACGAGTGTAATATTTATCGGACTCTTGCTTTTAGTGTACATTCCTAGTTTATAATTATCGATATTTTAGAGTCAAGTGCGATATTTTTCGATATTTTAAATATTAATATAGCACAGTTTACAATATTTCGATATGATATTGATGTATATTATAATGGATGTACCATTTCTGAGATTTCCTTTCTATAATATATCACATAATTTTTGTCCAGATTTCACCTGCTAAAAAATTGTTCGATACTATCGCGATGAACACGACTGTATTGTACTGTACTGTGCATATATGCAATGGAAATGATTAATTAACCCAGACCCAGACCTCTAAAAACAAAAATCAAGCTTCGAACTGAGTCGCAGTATATGCTTATGTATTGCCTTTGTTTTCTTTTGTTGCTTGTTATTTTTTAGCACTGCTCTCATTTCGCACAATTCACTTGCAATTGCACTTGCACTTGCACTTGCATTCTTGCATTCTGTTGCAGTTTAGTTTATCGTAGGGGAACCCTTTCTCCTCTACTTCCTCCCTCCGAATCCCTTAACAACTTCCCTTCTGTGACGCAATCGAGGCGTTGACTTGTGGGGTGCCTGCCTGGGTTTTTATTTGCAAATATTTGTTAGGAACACAAAGGCGACGCATTGAATCACGTACAATGGAGATACAATAATAAAAATAATAATAATAATAAGTTCTGAATAAAAAAGGGGGAGGCTTTCGAATGCTGAAAGAGGGGTTCAGGGGAGGCCTGTAAATAGTTAAGGCGATAATCGTATTGTATCGAAGTGAAATCATCTGGTTGGAATGCGGCATTTCGTCATTATGCAAGCGTTAGTGCTAAAGGTGTAAATAAATCTATTTTTAGTAAATAGGTTTTTTTTTTTTTTTTAATTTTTTACAAGTTTATCTCTTAAAATAGGAAATTGTTAAAATTAAAAATGTGTGTTTCTGGCTTGAAATAATTAAAATGTTATAGGTATATTTGTGGTCATTAAATTTGACTATTAATAAATCTGAAATGAAAAATTTGTGCTTACATTTTCACGACGTGAAACGTACATTCGTTTTTCAAGAATTTGTGGAATAATTCCGATTAATTCGATTTTGAAAATTTTTCTAATTGGATACATCGATTGCGTAATTATACAAAATCGATTAATCGTTTTCAGAATCGATATTATTTCCAGCTTTAGTCATAAGAATGCCTTTCTTCCAGTTAAATTTTTTAACCGAAATTAACAGAAAGAAGTTTATAAATTTAATTGATAGAAACCTGAAATCATATCTCCAAAATTAATCATTTACAATGTAAAATATCGAAAAATAAAGAAGTTAAGGTTAAAATATCGATATTAATTACTTGAGGATAAAAGTTTATATCATTAAATGTAACCTTTTACTATTATTTTCTATAAATCAAACAGAAAATAGATTTATCTAATTTAATTCGTAACTTTTATTTATTTATTTATCGATTTATATATAGAATATCGATAACTTATAAAGACTTAACATAAACTTTAACAACTAGGTAGTTTAAGGCCTAAAAATACTTTTAAAGAAAATCTTCTTACTTTTTAAGTCAATAAAAATTAGATTATTTTTATTTAAATTAAAATCGATTATTAACTTTTATCTTTATCCTTTTTAATTGCAGGCTCAGCGTCCGGAGAACACGGTTATGCAAGCGCTGGAATCGCTTAACGACTCGCAGGTTAATGACTTCCTCAGCGGCAAGACTCCGCTCAATCTGAGCATGCGCCTCGGCGACCACATGATGCTCATTCAGCTGCAGCTGAGCACAGTGAATCCGGCGGGTGGCGGCGGTGGCACCACAGTGGCCACAGCCACTGGTGGCTCCAGCGGCAGCAGCCACATCACCGCCAACAACTCGGCGGCTGCTGCCTCCACATCCTCAACGGTTGCCTCATCCTCACTGCCAGCTGGCACTGGTTGTTCGGCCACCGCAGCTTCTTCATCATCGTTGTCTGCCTCCAACTGCAACTCCAACTCCTCCTCCTCTTCAGCGGCAGCGGTGCTAGCCGTAGGCGGCAGTGGTAACACTTCCTCTTCCTCCTCCTCCTCGTCGTCATCATCATCATCAACAACATCATCATCATCGTCGAGAGCCCGCTCCTCCGGACATCGTGCTTCGGGAAAGATCGGACATGGTCACGTTCACAGCCACCAGCATCCGAGTTTGCATCACGGCTCTTGGCATGGTCATGGTCATGGTCATGGCCATGGACACAGCCACAACCATGGACACGGACATGGTCACCACCATCACCATCATCATCACCACCATCATCATCATCATCACAATGCCTCGGCTGTGGCCGCCGGAAGTGGAGGTGGCATATCCTGCCATTCGATACGCAAGATGTTCGGGGATCCAGGAACGGCTAAAGGACCCTCCTCCAGCAATAGCAACAGCAACAGCAACACCACCACCACCTCTGGCCCGGTCCAGAGCTTAAACACGGCGCTCAACGGGGGACCCGATCTCACCAAGCTGCTGATCAAGCGTGGCATTCAAAATATGTCCAAGGGATACGCGCTAAAGGACTCGACTGGCTCGGCTCCACGTGGCACTGCGGCCAGCTCCGGCAACGTCGCCTCGAGTCCCGGCAAGACTGTGCTGGAGCAATCGCCCATCAAGTCGCTGTCGAATCTCGTGTCCAGTCCCATCAAGATGACGGCCATCAAGAACATTCCCCTGCCCACGACGGCTGCCGGTGGCAGTTCGAGTGTCGCCACCACCTCCGGCTGCAGCTGCAGCTCTAGCTCCCTCCCGGCCTCCTCCAGCTCGTCCTCGTCTGCCGCATGCACCGCTGGCGGTTGCCAGCAGGATCCCATTGCCGCCAAGCTAACCTCGTGCCTGTGCACGCGTTTGCCCACACCATCGTCGTCGGTGGCCCCGCCGCTGGCTCCGCTGGTGGCCACCGCCGGTGTTGGCACTCCTCTGACCAGATCGGGAGCCGACACCTCGGCAGCCGGCAAGTGTCCCGAATCCACTTGCACTGGAGTTAACGCTGGCTATGCTGCACGTTCCATTGCACCGGGCACGGGTGTCACCTTCTCGGGGAATTCGATGCTGCACAAGACCGGCAACAATAGAATCACCAGAACCAAGCATCGTCATTACCATGGACATGGACATGGGCATGGACATGGTCACGGCAACAGCAGCAGCGGCAGCGGCAACAGCAGCAGTAGCCACTTTTATCAGCACGCCTGTGCCGTGAACCACTCCTCGGGCAGTGGAGCAACCTTTGGCGCTTCCCCATCTTCGGGTTCGTCGTCAACAGCTGCCTCCTCTTCGCGTCGCAAGCTGGAACAGGCAGGAGCAACGGGAGCAGCAGGTGCAGGAACACGTGTTGCCACCACAGGATCCACATCTGGATCGACAACGGCGGGCGCATCAATGCCACCTCTACTTACCGCCTCTGCCGCTGAGCCCGAGGACTCCTCGCTGGGCGTCTCGGACACTCGTACCCTGGCCGAGGCCTCGCGCAATCTCACCCAGACGCTGCGCAAGCTCTCCAAGGAGGTGTTCACCAATAAGATTGATCTATCTGGCGCTGCCAGTGTCGTGGGTAGCAACAGCAACGGGAGCAGTGGCTCCAACGGCAGCGGCAATGGTTCCTCCGGCTCCGGTGGTGGAGCTGGTGCCGGTGGCGAGGATACACCGCGCAAAGGTGGTTCCGGTGCCGTAATTGAATCGATGAAGAACCATGGCAAGGGCATTTACTCGGGCACCTTCTCTGGGACCTTGAATCCAGCGCTGCAGGACCGCTACGGTCGTCCCAAGCGTAACATTTCCACGGTGATTCATATCCTGAATGATCTGCTAAGCGCCACGCCGCAATGTGGACGCGGTGCTCGCATTAGCTTCGAGGCACCAAGCACCAATGGATCGACAGCGGGCTCCAGCTCGGCTTCGGGTAGCGGCAACAGTGGATCCTCCTCGACGGCGGCCACCAGCAATGGGATGCATCACGGATCACGCAGCAAAATGGTGAGTGGGGTGACATTACCTTGTACGTATCCAGGCTAATTATGTATATCTTCCCCTTTACCTTACAGTACTCCTCGCGGCATCACAACTGCGCCAAGTGCAGCAGCCGGGCACAGCAGCAGCAACAGCAGCAGCAGCAGCAGCAACAGCAACAACAATCGGCGGCAAGCGGATGCAGCTGCTCCTTCCATGACTTCCAGGGCTACTTCTCCCCCTCATCATCCTCCACCGCCTCCAACCCGTTGTCAGCCGCCGCCTCGAAGGCTTCGGCGGGCGCCAAGTCATCAACGCACAGCTGCTGCCCGGCCGAGGCAGCCAACAATCTGGGCAGTCAGTCCACCGGCTCCTGCAGCTGTCGCTATCGCCGCGACGAGGGACAGGAGCGTGAGCGTGAGCACATGTGCCAGAAGTGCACCGTGGAGCTGGCCAATATGAAGACACGCTCCAAGATGGACCAGCTGCGACTGGTCATGCAGCAGCACAAGCAGAAGCGTGAGGCTCGCAAGCTGAAGAGCGGTCCCTATGCCATGCCCAATGCGGCAGCAACCGCTCCGGCCACTGGAGCCACCTCATCGGCTGTACAGTACAGCGCAGTCAGTGCCCTGGTTGCCACGCCACTGCAGTCAGCAGCCGCTGTGCCGCCTCAGGCGACGGCTCCCACCACAACTACCAGCAGCAACAGCAGCAGCAGCAGCAGCAGCAATACCGCCAGCAATACCAATGCCAATAGCAACAACAATACAACCAGCGGCAGTAATGGAGGAGCAGCTGGAGGAGCTACAGCCACGACGGCAACAACAGCGACAGCAGCCACAGCAGCTCCGCCAAGCGAAGTCTCGCCCAACCACATTGTGGAGGAGGTGGACACGGCGGCCTAAGGTGCCGCTGACCTTATCCTATTTTTAGCATTTACTAGTTTACGCAGCAACAACAAAGAGCAGGAAAGAAAGAAATAAAGAGGAGCAACAGGCCGAGGGCAAAAGGCGATGAATGAGCAGCAGAAGAGAAACTACAACACACAACTAAAGCTTATATTAATCTAGAATTAATGCATAATAACACGACCCGGAGACATTCCTCCGCTAGAGCCTGGCAGGAGAGCAGGCAGCGGAGTTCAGAAGAGCGCGTCTGGAGAGTCGATAAGCTGTTAAATTAATTTTAAGTGAACCCCTCACAACACAGATACAGACAACACCACAAACACACCACAATACACCACAAAACACCACACGAAGCCGATCCAAAAAGATCCTTTGGAATGATTCAGCTTTCGGAGGCGACAAAATCCTTTCAATTACCTTGCGTAAATTGAATTTAGTGAAATATATATATATGTATTTTTTTTTTTCAAGAAAACACACAAAAAAAAAATGAAGGATAAAAATTGAAAGCGTGGCGATGAATGTAGAATTAAAAGTTTAAGGAACCGGTAGACACACACACGATGGAAGCTCGATGCTGAGAGAATTGTAAGCCAAAGCGGTGGCAAAATTTTTGGTAGAACTAAAGCAGAAATTAGATTTACGTTTAGAACACACCAAAAGCAACATACACACACACACACACACACACGACACACACAACACCCTTTGGCTTTGGCAGCTTTATATTACGTTTAAATTTTACGTTTAAATTTAAATGAAGGCGAACGGCGGCGGAAGGAGAACTATAGTGGCGCTTTAACATGATTTGCCTTAATAGAAAATCGTTTAATATATATATAATTTTTTTGTACACTTAAACTCCTTATCACCGATAATGTGTTTCGAATTAAAATTTTGTTCAACTATTTACTACACCTACTACTACACACACACACACACACCACACTATTGAACTAGTTAGTAAGACTTATGTTTTCGATTCATTATACAATTTACGATTGGATTAGTTAAGCAGCAACATCAACTTATAGTTGTGTTGTTTTATCATTTAAATTCCTACTTTTTTTGTGGATATCCTACAACAACAACCTACTTACATTCAAATTATAATGCAATTAGTTTTAGGCAAGTTATAAAATTATGAGTTGATTTCACACCACAACAACAACAACACCAACAACAACTACTTGATTTCAATAAATGTTTAGTAAATGGTTTAGTTAACTAATTACATTTTGTCTTTTATTTTCCTTATTTTTTGCTTTCTGTTTGTGTTATTTTGCTTGTTTTAAGGCTTCCCTCTTGCGAGAGCTGGAAAATAATCGACTTAAAATTGATAAATGTCGATATTTTTGTGCAGCTTTTATTATTAAATATGTGCAATGCAATCATAGTTTTATTTTCTTTAGCTATTGTTTTGTTTCAGTTGATGAATTTTATATTTTGGTTTGTTTGAAATCATAGCTCTTCTGCCGCCTGCTGGCATACAAAATGTGCAATACAATTTAGAGCTGATAAATAATCGAAGATAATCGATAACTTTTTGATTTGGTTCGACTTTTTGAAGAGAAATGATGTGCCAATTGCAAACACACACAAGTACATACTCGTATATATATAGTATATGTATGTAATGTATGTGGAAATCTAGTAAGAATTGTAAATGATATATATATATATCTATATATATAATATAATGTATAACCTCCACACAACAAGACACACACACACACACCCAGAGGAGGAATATATCGACCAAATTGAAACTTTTTATCAAAGAAAGAAAGAGAGAAACCCAACACCTAAAACGGGATATGATGTGCATAGGTATTGGTCGTAGATTGTTAAGTGCTAAGTCTTAAACAAAAAACAAGTTATGTGCAATTTATATATATGAAAAAAAACAAACGTTTATATTTCCATTTAGTTTCCCCCTCTATATATATAATCTATCTATTTATCTATCTATCTACATAGCTTTCCATCTATCTCTACACAACTAGGACGAAATCGAAAGCGAAATCGTAATCGATATCGTTATCGATAGTTAGCATTAGGAAACATAAATAAGTTCGATGTACGATAACAAATCTAGAAGTAGGCTTAGACGAAGGAAAGCAGAGACAGCTGGAGACACGAGAAAGATATCGATAAGAAGGACAAGGATGAGATGGAATTGGGGAAAATGAGAAGAACGAAAGAATGAAAAGACGTGGACTGATGATGTATGGTGGGTGGGTGGCTTGGCAAGGGCATTACTTTGGTTCAGATATGGGATTTCGGTTAGATTGATTGACTTGATTGATTCGGACTCGGTTGGATAATTTTCAGCATATCTGCGTGAATTTCTAACAAAGTACAAACACACAAAACGATGCGATTTTTTATATATATTAAAAACAAAAAACATAGTTCAAATATTTACACAAGGCCCCCCCATTAACCCATTATTCACTCGATAGGAAATCAATCCTTGACGAAAATTTAACCCTAAACATATGCGCAACATTTGCTGAAAATAAAAACATTAAAAATACATAAAAAAAACAACAAAAATCTATGTAAAAATCAAACAAATTTTGAAGTGTAAACTAAATTAAATTTTTGTCGCATTTACTTTGAATAGTTCAAATTTATTGAAAATTAAAGTCCCAAGGCCCGAATTAAGTAAATTATGGATAATATACTCCCATATAAAGACATATACACATATATATATTTTTGAATATATTTTGACATTTTGCGTCTTTGTCTTTTTTGTTGACATCTTCCAAGTCTCTTAAGCAACAACAAAAAATCACTATCAAAGCAAAATTGATTAAAATTAGCAAAATTATTAGGAGGCCGAAACACCACGTTCCCACTCACGTAAATGATAAATTTTGAAAGAAGAAAACGAAAACAAACGAAAGAAAATGTGTAGAAACGAATATGAAGAAGAAGAAGCTATAAAAGTTGATCCCTGATATATGGGAGGAAAGTTTATATGGTAATCCCCTTTAGATGTTAAGAGGGTTCGTCGCACAAAGGCGAATTAGACAAATTTTAATGCAAGCATCGAGGGAAAGGATCACGATCTCCAGCAAATTGGGAGTTCTAAGTTTGCACATCGATATTTATCGATTATTATCGATGCCCTAACGATGCTACAGTCGAAAGTGGCATCGCCACTTTTTCCTTTTTTTTTTCCTTGGGAAAGTGCACATATAGACACACATATAGAGAAAAACGTACGATTAAGATGCAAAAATTAATGGGAAACTCATCGTTTCGTCATCAAAATCCACTTTTGATTGTTGTGTGTACTGATTAAATGCCCCCCCGTGAACATATTACTTATAAACACAACAGATAGAAATTATACATATAGATGGATATATACACACAAAAACTTTGCCATAGCCGAAATCGAATGGATGAACGTGAAACAAGTGAAGTTGAAAGACAATTTCATACAATTGCATGTATAAAATGATACAAAGTAAGCAAATGAAACAATGCAAGTAAAAGTATTCGTCAATAAACATTATTTCCAAACACAATAACCATATAACCGGAAGGTGCAACTCGTTTTATTGGAAAGTGGGGGACTTTTGGGGGAAATAAATTCAAGGATCAAGATTCTTATGTTCTGGAATTAAGTTTACATCTTTGTGAATTGATATGATCATGATTGAATAAAGTAAGTATTCAATGGCGTCTTTGAGTAATGTATTTATGTTATTTCCGGTCGCCGTTCACCATTGTGTACGTTTTTGTAGCATACTTTTATGTCCAAAAGAAGAAATTTTTAAAAATTTCATAACAAAGCCAAAAATGCATTAATTTCAATTCGGAAAGCTGTTCTGTGCTAGTTTTTAACAGGTTAACAAATCTACCTACAGAGTGTAGAAATTCAAAAAAAAATCAGAATTTTTGACAATTTTAACGATGTAACCCCTTACAAAATTTTTAAAAAATTTCGAAAAAATAATTTTTTGTCAGAACATAGCTAGATCGACTCAGCTGTTGATGCTGATCAAGAATATATATGGTTTATAGGGTCGGAACTGATTTCTTCACTGCGTTGCAAGTTTATGACTTAAATTATAATACCCTGCAAGGGTATTAAAATATATATTAATGTAAATAATCTGAAAGACTTTACAAATGAATATTTAATTATTTGACTAGCGAATAAATCCCTTAAAAAGGTATCATGCAGTTATTGTTGAAAAAATGTTGTTGAAAAAAAAATTGTTGTTGTAAAAATGCTGTTGTTGTTGTGAAAGCAAAGCTGGACGACTTCAAGCAAAAGGCGCACAGAAGGTAGCAGGGCGAGGATTTACTTGGTTCTACTGCTTGAAGGAATTGTTAAATTAAACACAATCCTAATATTGAATTAACTTTCAATTTATGCAATCAAAAATATATAGGCTATATAATCTTTTTGACAAATTAAAGTTTAAGGAAACCATAAGTAAATTAGAAAGTCAAACGAATTCAATCCGATACTTGGCATACCCTACTCTTGCCTCTTAACTTTAAGTTATAAGACATAAATCCCCTTGTCCAAATAAAACTCATTACTTGTTTATTTGTTTTTAATTTTCTGTTTATTATGCTCAATTTTTGGTTTTATACTTTTGTTACGCATGTGATTATATATTCCTTTGAATTATTTATTTTGTTTTCGGTTTCTGTTCTGGGTTTAGTTCGCCTTTACAAATAATCATCGTTATGATCGGTTCTTATATAGTTTCTATGCGATTTCTTGTTTTTTTTTTAATAAATATTCAATATATCCATTAAATTTGTTAATGCAATTTCCATTTTCCATATATATATATATAAATAATGTACACCACGAAAAAAAACAAAAAAACAATTTATTACTTATTAGTTGTATGCATTTGTTTTTCTTCGTTCGCCCTTCAGTTTGCTTTGGTTTTTTCGTTTGCAGAAGCTGTTTTTGGTTTTCATCTTATTTTTTTTTACTTTTTGTTTTGTTTTATTTTTTTTTGGTATTATTTGGTGGGGCGTGGGCGTGGCCCGTGCCAAGCAGCGGAAATTCGGCCAAAAGTCATTCAATGCCGTTGCATAATTAGATCGTACTCGTAGTTAATAATAGTTCCCTTAGTGGATTGCATTTTATTTTGTTTTTCCTTTCTCTTTCTCTTTTTTGTTTTATTTTCTTTTTGTGGGCCGAAAAGCGAGTATTTTACACACACACATTGTACACACACATAGAAATGCAATGTCTCCCTCTTGATATCGATCTCTATCGCTATCTCTGTCTCTGTCTCTGACTGTTCCTGTTGCCGTCTCCCTTTCGCTGCAATAACTCTCTATATAAAGCGAAACTAGGTACGTACGATATCGTTACCTCTCTTTCTTGCGTCTCTCTCTCTCTCTCTGTCTCTTTCCCATTCATATCTATCATTGCCTAAGCCTTTCTCTTTCTTTCCCTTCTCTCTAATATCTCTCTCTCTCTATCTCTCTGTCTCTTTCTATATCTATCAACTTGTTTAACGAGTAGTAGCACAATTTTTGGACGAAGATGGTTTGAAATCGAAGCGTCTAAGTGAGTGTGTAAGTGATGTATGTATGACTGTAGTGTACATAGTGTAGAGTGTCTGTGTTTCTGCTAAACTAAATCCTCTATATGGGGCATGTGGGGTGGGAGCTCTTCCAATTTTCCGCAATACAAATACACAATACGATCAGGCCTATAATCCGTTACAACTATCAAAATTTTCTCGGCTATGTGTGCGAGTGGAAAACGCTTTGATAATATTTTCCAAATTTACTAACTGACCCAAAAGCATTCCATTCTGTTTCGTTAAATATATATAAATATATCGGGGGTGCTATATAGTGTGTGTGGATTATATATATGTATATATAGACTATATCAAAAGAGCTGCCTGCTGCGAATCCCGATTCGGTTCGGGGTCTTCAGTTGTGTCCTTGTGCTCGTGTCCTTTTGGTTTTTTACAATAAGTAATGGGTAAGCATATATGTATGGGTTCTGTGGGGGGGAGGGTCTGTTACTAATCGCCTTAATCTCTGACTAATGTCGCTGTTCAACTAAGCTAAGGACGTTTTCGCAAAAAGGTCATTGTGTTCATCATCATCATCATCATTGTTATATATATATATATATAGTTATGTCCGTCTGACCTTGTTATTAACTATTATTACTAAGCTTTGCAAAAGGCGTGCCATGTGTGGTTTAGTTATAGCTTCGTCTCCTCTTATTTGTCGTAGTAGCTGCTCTTAACTCGCCTCCGATCGAACTTTGTCTAGGTTACTCACGAAAAAAAAACGTATATGTTTAGTATATATATACTATATATATAGATGTATATATATATATAAGTAAGCTAAATCATATCCTCCTAAACCTATACACGCATATACATCTCTCTTTCTCGCTCTATATATGTATAGGTATATATACTAAATATCGTAATATCCTCATATGATTTTTGTTTTTTTTCTTTTTTTATAGTTAACAATAATCGCCGTTTATTATCCTTGCTCCAGCAGGCTGGCTTAAATATATATGGGATTCTCCTGGCCAGTGAGCAGGCGGAACATGGACGTGGGCATCGTTTTCATGAGTATCTGGGGGAGAATCGAAAGATAATTGAAGGTTTATTCTTTTTCTAGATCAGCATCGAGCATTGGACACTCACCTCTCCCACGGATGTTGCCAGCAAGTTGACAATCTTTTCGTGGGGCACAGCCACCACGCTCTGGTTGTTGATCTCGATGATGCGATGACCCACACGGACACCGCCTCGCTCCGCGATTCCGCCACGAAGTAGACTACAGATCTGCAAGGAGAAGGTGATATATCGAAGGGTTATCAAATGCAGATTTATCGATGTATTGTAATTTACCCAACAAAAATATATTTATCGAAATATCAATCAAACAACTAACAACGATAACAACAATAAAAAGGTCGATTTCTATCAATAAAATCGTACAGTTTATCGAATTTTAAAATATGAAAAAATGTTGAATTTATCCTTCACAGTTTTATATTATCTAGCAATAGATATATAGAATAGATATATTTTTAGTTTACATTACAAATTTGTCTACTTATACCAATTATCGGATCGATATACAAAATGCGTAAATCCTTAAAAAATCGATTTATAAATTATTGGTTGTAGAAAATATCGATTTAGTATCGTATATATTGATATTTTCTGCCAAACAATATATATTTTTTCAATTATTTAAAAACCCAATCGATAACAGAATTCAAAATTAATCTATAAATGTATCGCTATATTATATCTCTCGTATCAAAAACATTCCCTCAACTTACCACTCCATTCTGAACGCTGAACCCGAGCTGGTACTTGGTTTCCGGTCGCTTAATCTTCACCTCGACCACGGGTGCACATGGCACCACCGTGAACTTGACCACCGTCTGGTTCTTGGTGTTCTTGATGTATGTCTGGCAGGTGGATAGCGGTAGTCCGACGAGGCTCAACCCATTGATGGCGATCAGCTGATCGCCGATATTAAGTTGTCCACATCGAGCCGCTGCCCCGGAACTCATCAGGTTGGCAATCACCACAGTGGGCAGCATCGAACCCCAGCCGCTCTCCACGATCACCACGCCCAGGATCTCGCCCTTAGCCTTGGGCACAACGACCTCCTTTTGCAGCTCCTTCTTGGCAAAGATCTCCAGTTCGTCGCCGAATATCTCCTGACTGTTGAGCACCTCCTGGTAGTCCATCTCCTTGACAAACCGATGATCCTCGATGCCGTTCGCCTTGAGGAACTCCATGTAGGCCACCTGGAAGGCTTGGCCAATGGACTGGGCTATGAACTGGGCCTCATCGCTTTCGAACACATGACAGATCATTTTGGGTGTGCGATTAGGTTTGGGGGCATCGTCGATGTCCTGGGGCACGAATCGACGGCGGGCCATCAATACCACAAGGTCTCCAATGTCCGCGATATACGAGATGGTACGCAGGGCATGGTCCATCATGATCTCCTTGAGATCCGTGTTCAGCACCATTATCTTCTCCGTCGAGATGAACAGATCCACCTCGGTGCTGGGCTGTACATCGCCATCGGGGGCCTGAAAGGGTGATTATACGTAATTTAACTCTATAATATTTAATATATATAAAATATTATAAGGGATATGTGGGGAATAGTTGTGGAACTGGGACTGGAAAGGATCTTCAAGGAGGCAAGCTTCGCTTTTGGGTAACACAAAATTTATAGCGGGCCAAATGTCATCGAGGCAATACGAATTCGAGGCAAATCAGGCAAACCAGAGGTGGGATAAGGTGGGTTTGGTGAGTTTGTTGGGTTGGTTGGATATTTAATAGGTGTATTTTGGTGGCTTTAGAGTGGGCTTTTTGGCTAGTTTCTCCATTACTTACCAGCGCCTATAATGCGAATTTTGTGTTTCAATTCAATTTATATAGATTTTTTTCATTGTTTTGCATGGCGATACGTGGTTTTTTGGTTAGCGTGGTTGGTCATCGCGGATGCGGAGCATTTGATGTGGAGGAGATGATACATGAAAATATAACAGTTAAAAGTTAATGACTCTCTATCTCTCTCTCACTCTCTTTCTCTCTCTGTCGCTCTCAAGGTCGGTCCTTTAATCAGCTTTGAAGGGTTGGATGTAGGAAGATATATTGATATGAAATGTTCGATATATTTACAAAATTTTCTTTTTTCGAGTTCTTAAATATTTAAAAATATCGAAGTTAACGTTATATATATCAGAAAAATTTTATTTCTTGATTTCTTTCTCTATTTTGCATTTACTTTTGTCAGATGAATCAAACAGAATACGAATTTATCGCAAATATATCGCAACAATCTATGGTTCTATGATTCGATGATGGGACTGGGACGAAAAAATGTGCGTGGACAACTCAAAAATATTGGAGAGATTGAACAGATCGAGCGGGAATTGAAAGTAGCTCTAAGAATTTAGACCTTTTAAGAAGTTCAACAATAGAAATTAAATCTAATATAAAATTGTAGTACTATGAAATAAATTATGAAAATACAGAGTTGCGAAATGGAACCAAAACTGATCAAACGGAGCAATCGATCGAGCATCAGGCGAGCATTATAGATATCAATTCAGGTTATAATCCAGGCAATGGTACCTCCTGGATGGGCTTTACCTTAATCCGGGAAACCGCCTCCTCCGCTTGCATCATTCGCGTCGATTTCGTGGGTTGTCCTTCGCAGACCAGCTGCGTGGAGCCCAGGTACTTGGCCCGGAAGAGCACTCCCTCGATGAGCACTGCACCGCCTGAACATGGTGAGAAGACACACAAAATACCCGGTTAGCACAACAATTTCAAAGGTTCTTGGGGATCACAGAGTACGTGTGGAGTATAAGTTGGTTTAGTGTACGTGCATGTGTGCCAGCGAGCTAGTTAGTATGTCCGTCTGTCTGTCCGCCCAACAGAATATTGGTCTAAAACTCAGGATCTAACAAGGGTTCTGCTTTTAAATTTGGTATGCAGCTTTATCTTGGAGGTGTTTGTAAGTAATTCATATCAAAATCTTTTAAGTCTTTCAAGTTTCACAATAATTAATAGATGAATTGTTGTGTTAAATTATAGAATTTTTATATATTAGTCTGAATTAGGTCATATGTTTTCAGTCTGGTCAGTCTAGTTTCTGTAAAATATAAGTTTAGATCTCGGAATCTTGCAAAGGGTTTTGGTATATGTATATCTTTATCTAGAAGTTCTAGTCAATATCTAAATCCTTTTGAGTCTTTAAACTTTCTGAATAACCAATTAAAAGTGAAAATCTAATAATTGACACCTATTATTTTTGCCTTGTTTTGTGTCTTCTTGTTCGTGTTGGATCTTAAATGCTATTACATAATGGAATTTTATCTTACAAATTGTATTTTACACACACACAGACACAGTAAAATGAAGAGTAGAGTTTGGTTTTTTGGTATTTGATTTGATTTTTGGTTGAACGAACGAACGAACGAACGACGCATGCAAAAAATACGCAAATAAATATGCGAAAGAATACAGAGAAATGATAGGTAAAAATATTATATATATACGATTAATATACGGATTAATATGGATCGAGAGAGAATTGCATATAGGTTTAATCAATTGATCAATTTACGCCTTCATTTTCATTTTCATTTTCAGTTTGCTTAGAGTAAGTTCTCTGGCATTTGGACAACATCAATGCAATGCACACACAGCACACCGACATGACATGGTCACAGGATATATATATATTTATGTAACAATTACTATATATATGCAGATATATATATATATGTATATATATAGACGATTATGGGAACAATCGAACGAAGGATAAACCCAACGCATTTACCTTCTTTGCTCTTACTCTTTTTCACTTTTTTCTCGCCGCTGCCGCTGTTGCTGTTGCTTCCAGCTCCACTTCCGTTTCCGTTGTTACCATTTGCCGTTGGATTGGCAATGTTTGTGCCACTGCCGCTGCCACTTCCGTTTCCGCTGCCCGTGTTCACACCGCCGCCATTGGCCACCACAACGCCCACGGCGGCAGTGGCCGTCGCCGTGCCTCCATTGGCCATTCCATTCTCCGACGTCTCGCCGCCCAGTTGCTTGAGACCAGCTCCAGATCCACTGGCATTGCCTGCTCCTGCAGATCTCTCTGAGCCCCCACCATTCCCAGGACTTCCCAGAGCAGGGGTTGTTCCGGCTGCCGCTGCCGCCGCCGCTGCTGCCGCCGCTGCTGCTGCAGCTGCCACCGCCGCCGCCGTGGTGGCCGCCACAGCTGAGGCAACCACATCCACAGATCCTGCGGAGCACAAATCACCGCCAGAATTGGTGGTCACCAATTTACTGGGTGACTTATCGCTATGCTCCGAGGAGCTACTCCGCGACAAACTGCGCTGCACCATGCCACCGACCAGATCCAGGAGCTTGCCCTGTGAGAGTCCACCCAGGCCACCCAATCCGGAGCCGGCCTGCTGGCTCTTGGGCGGAATCGGTGGCGGCAACTCCGGCGTGGAGCTGAGCAGAGCATTGTAGCCATTGCGCGTCTTGGTGCTGGGCATCTGCTGCTGCTTGGGCGAGATCTTCGAGAGCAACGAACGCGGCTTGCGATCCCAGCTCTTGTTCTCATCGTAATAGCCCTGATCGTCCAGACGCTGATGGCCCAGCAGGCGGTCCGTCTCCAGATCGGTGTCCACATCCTCCTCGTCGGCACTGTGATTTTTCGAGTGATTATCCGAAGCGGACTCTAGCAGAGCTTTGCCAGCGCCGCTGCCACCGCCGTCCAGGTGACGTGACAGCCACACAGGTGAGTTGAGACCCGGTGATGGTGACCTTTGAGCGGGCGGAAGATTGCTCCTCTCTGGGATGGGTGGCGGCACTCCTCCACCGCCATTGCTGCTACTGCAATTGCTGCCCGCGCTTCGCGGTTTGGAGTTCAAGCCTCCGCTTCCATTTCCGCTTCCGGCAACCGCCGCGGTGGGTGAGCTGCGCTGCAGCGTGGAGCTAATGGCCACCGCCAAAGGAGTGTGCTTACTACTCGGCTGCAGCAGATCCACATCGGCCTGGCCATTGGTGCTAGCGTTGGGTTTGCGATGCGGTGCCGGAGCCGGCGGCGGTGGCGTCATCTGCACCGTGTCCGGGCGATGGAAAACACCTGCAAGGGGGTTCAAAATCGTGCTTAGAATTGGATTTTGATATAAGGATCTTTAACTTACTGATCGAGTAGAGCGAATCCAGTTCCGGATCGATATTCTTGAACACTTTGCTGTGGTTACTGGGACTCTGACCCAAAAGCGGAGGCTGCGATTGCGACGGGGGTTTGGTCAGCCCATTGCTGGGACTGGGACCCACTCCTCCGATGCCATTGCTGTCCGTGGTTGAGGCCGTGGTGGTCGTCAGGTTGTGCATGCTGTTCAGGCTATTATTCGTGGAGATGCGCTTCATGTCCATCAGCATGGAGATGCCACCGCTGCCGCCAATGCTGGTGCTGGCACTGAGACTGGTGGGCGGACACTGGCCCTGTTGTCCCCGATCCCGTTCCTGATTGGCCAACGCCTGCTGCAGGTTCTTGTTGTTGTTGTTCTCGGTGTCACTGGTATGACCAGAGGAGAGGCCATCCTCCAGGACAGGCATGGCCGAGGCATAGTACTTGGCGTAATTGGAGCAGGAAGTGGACACGCCACCATTCATTTCGCCAGAAAGACCTGCAAGGAGAGCAAGAGATTGATTGGTAAACCAAGATGAGTAACTTTGATCTTTATACTCACTGTCCAGATCCCCGCAATTGGAGTCATAGTCGGTGGTCTCCGGCGAGTAACGATAGTTGTGTCCTCCGCCTGGACCCACACCCACGCCCACACCGACGCCACCCTGGCCATTGCTGCCGGTGCTCAGCAACTGGTTGTGATTGAGTCCATCCTGATCGCCATCCCGTTCGCCGCTGCTCCGACTGGCGGAGTCCAGGAAGAAGTCAAAGTCCCGCATCAATGGACTGCCGCTGTAGTGCCGCCGGGTCACGCCCATGCCAATGAGGGGCTGGGCGGGAAGCGACGCTTGCTGCTGTTGCTGTTGCGGCGCCTGTTGTCCATAGCCGCCGTAGACATGGCGCTCGGTGGGAGCAGCCTGGAGCTGCTGCTGCTGCTGCTGTTGCTGACGATAGTTCAGCTCATGATCCTGGTCCAAGATGCCATCATCCTCGTCCTCGGCCTCGTCGTTCTCCTCATCGGCCAGGTCATCGTCGGCCTCGTCGTCGTCCTCGGCCTCCTCTTCTTCGGCCAGATCCTCCTCGTCGCGTTCGAAGTTGCTGTGAAACTCGTACTGTATATCCTGCGGCAGATAAAACATTATCCTATAAAGGTTATTCAAGGTTAAGATCATGATCCACTCACAATGCTGTCCACATCGCTGCCATTCTCCATGATGGGCTGCTCATCGGTGGAGGGACACTTGAAGAACTCCTCCAGCACTTTGCGCGTCTCCGAGAACTCGTACAGATAGTCAAAAGTTGAGGATTTGGTGTGAAGACTCAAAGGACCCAAACCAGGACCGGTTCCATTCGCATTTCCGGAACCAGCTACATTTCCCGTTCCATTTCCGGTTCCTGCTACCGTTCCATTTCCAATTGTCGGTGGTGTCATCGCTCGACTGGCCAACTCTCCAGCTCCTCCGACTCCAGCTCCGGCCATTGCCACCTCCGGAGTGGTTAGGTCGGAGATGGTACCGATCTCGGACACATCGTTGCTGGTGTCCTCTGCATTGTTGTCGCTGCTCAGCGGCTGCTTGTTGTTGGTGTTGTTGGTATTGTTGTTGCTATGGTTGCTCATCAGGCTGGCAAAGTGTTGTTGTTGCTGCTGTTGCTGCTGTTGCTGTTGCTGTTGCTGATGCTGCTGCTGTTGCATGTGCAGCGGCTGCTGCGATTGCTGCAGGGTGGGTGAGCTGCTGCGAGGCTCTCGATGCGGCGGCGAAATGATGCGCTGCAGATGATTACAGGGTATGAAGTGTAAGGCAGAGGATAGAGTTGAATGCAAACCCACCTGTGGAAACCCGGGACGCACGGGATAGGCCTGCAACGGCTGCTGCTGCTGCTGCTGCTGGGGTGGCTGTACCGCTGGCTGCTGATGGATCTGGTTGGGATTCAGGGACATGTGTGTATTAAGAGCGCTGAGGGCACTTAGGGGATGTTGGGCATGGGGTTGTGTCTGGGCCAAAGCGGCAAGGGCTGCCCGGGCCGCTGTCTTTTGCAGCGATGTGGCCGTGGCACTCAACGGCGGCACTGCTGCCATGGGAAGCTGTTGTGCTCCTGCTGCTGATCCTGATCCTGATCCTGGATCCGTTGCCGTTGCTGGTGGTTCGCTTTCGTCCGCTGCTGCTGCTTGCGCCGCTGCTGCTGCTGCTGCTGCTGCAGCAACCAAGTTGTTAGTTGTGACTCCAATGCGTCGTGGCGAGCCTTCGTACTCTGTTTCAGGAAAGGGTAAAGGGTTATGTGTTGTTACTATTGTTGAACATAAAGTGTACCTATGATTCCATGGCGCGACTCCACGGCCAGCGTGTAGTTGCGTTCCAACTGCCAGGCGTCCAGCTTGTGCTCTCTGTAGGCTTCCGGGTTCTGGATCTGAATCTGGTTGTGACTCTGGCTGGCCTGGTTGAGTAGGGACTGCATCTGGAGCTGGGATTTGCCGGCCTTGTTGTTCTCCTCCGCCGTCTGGTTCTCCGTCGTCACGCGCAAATCTGTGGATGAGTGATGGGAGAGGGGATGGGTTGAAATCAGGGTTGTGGCGATGACAAGGGTCACTGGTGATATCATGGCAATAGCATCAGATGGACAGCTTGGCATGCCAATTAATTGCAATCAATTAAATTCCATTTTGGAGCGCTTCCTACGCTTTGTTCGCGGTGGCTCATTCCCTGAATTGGACAAGGACGAGGACGAGGACTAGGACATGGTTACGGACACGGAATCGGACTGGGCATCGGCTGTATTGTGCTCTATCCGCTTCATACATATTTGCAGTACACTTCATTACGCATGATTTGCAATTCAATTACCCGGCCCCATGTCCATCTGTCTATCTGTCCGGCATTCAGCCAGTCGGAAATTGGTTTCGCCCAGGAACGGCTGCTCCTGTTACTCCTTCTCCTACTCCTTGGCTGGTGGAGAGTCCTTCAAGCCACAAATTGCTGCAGGCACGTGCAACCACAGAGGTTGCTGCTCGGACTGAGGTTCACCCCAGAGAATGCCTCCCTGCCACTCTAAATCAGTTCCACCCAAGGACTCGTACACACACTCGCAAAGGATATGCTGTTCATCGGGAATAATAATTATACATAATTTCTTTTTCGAAATAATATTAAGAATAAATTAATACAAGACTGGAATTTATGAGAACTTGATTAAGGCTTTTAAAAAAGTGTTAGAAACAAGGGTGTTAGGAGTTACCCCTTTAAAGATTCGAAGTTTAATTTTCTAGTGTGATCAAATCGATTGTAAGTAATCGGTAAAGCAATATGACTTATTTTAACAAAATAAGAACCAATAAAACCATTTATATAAATATTAAAGAAAGAGTAAATAAGAAATTAGCCTTCATTAATTACTATGTAACAGAACTGAAAAGTTGCTCTCCAGTACAATCAGAAATTTATCGGTTTTAGATTGCCCGTTATCGAAGGAACAGTCGATAAATTATCGAAACGTTATAAGTAGTTTGCAGGATCTTTAAAAAGTACATTTTGTTGCATACTTTTGAGGAAGTTAAGTTTTTATATCACATTTTCTATTTCAACCCCGAAATAATATTTTTTAAATTTATAATTTTACTTACGCTGCCAGCTCTCGTTGAGATCCGCATTCCCATTGACCAAACGATGATCACGATCCCTAACCCGCTCTCGCTCCCTTTCTCTTTCTCTTTCTCGCTCCTCGCCGTGTCCATGACGTTTCCTTTGCTGCTGACCTGCCATGTGGCTTAGGTGGTTCTCCCTCACCGCATGCACCTCCTGCAACTGCATCTGCTGCTGCTGCTGCTCCAGCAAAAGGTGCTCCCGCTCACGATCCCTCTCCCGCTCCCGCTCACGCTCCCTCTCCCGTTCCCGCTCCTCGCGAAGCCTCAGTTTGCGCTGCTCCCGTGGCTCCCAGTCGCCGGCATGTTGATCCAGCGACGACTTGCTGCCATATAGGTAGTGACTAGCTAAAGGAGTCAGTCCATCGGCGCAGGGATTAGTGCTGGCAGAGGTGTTGGTCACCTGCTGTTGCGGAAAGCTGTTGCGATTCACTGGACTCCTGCCTACCCGTAGTTGAGCCTGAGGCTGCTGCTGTTGCTGCTGCTGCTGCTGCGTTCTCTGACCCAATCCGTATGCCTGTTCCCGCTGCTGGTGGTAAGCTCGTCTGGCAGAGGCGTGCAGGTGCTGAGCCTGTTGCTGCTGCTGCTGATGTTGCTGCTGCTGATGTTGCTGCTGCTGATGTTGCTGCTGTTGCTGTTGCTGCTGCTGCTGATGTTGCTGCTGTTGCTGCTGATGTTGCTGCTGCTGCTGCTGCTGCTCCTCGGCATACTCCGTGGGTGAGTGAAGCAGTGAGCTCGCTCTGGTGGGTGGCGCCTCCCAATAGTTCTCCTTGATGAAGGGGTTCTGACTGCCACCGCCTGCACCGTTTCCATTATGCAACTGCTGCTGCTGCTGCCTGTTGGTGGCGGGCAGATTGGCGCTCCTTTTGCGCGGCATCTCCGCGTAGCCGCCGGTGCCACGCCGGCTATCCCCCACGACGGTGTGGTGGTAGTAGAAGGAGGAAGGATAGTCGGGCTCCTCGCTGATGGCCACCGCTCCGCTTCTGCTCCGGCTTCTGTTGCTCAGCTCCACGGCGGTTTCTCCGCCGGCGTTATCCAGCTCAGGCTCTTCGTCGTCCGGCGGCGTGGGCGGCGTCAGTGGGGCGCACAGAAAGGGATTCGTGGAGATGCGCGGTGTGACTGAGGACAGTGATTCGGAGGAGTGCGATGAAGCCGAATGCGGTGGCGGTGATTGTGTGATGATATTGACGCTCTTGTAGTAACTGGGCGGCGTGCTGTTGCTCGCTGGAGTAATCAAGGGCGTAACCAGGGGCGGCGGACTGGCCAGCGGTTTCTCCTCTGTGGAAATGACCGCCGAAATGGGGCTGCTGCTTCGGTTGCTGCTGCTGCTATTGTTCAGATTCACATCCGCCAGGAGCTCATGTCGCTGCTGTTGCTGCTGCTGCTGGGTTGCCTGCTGCTGCTGCTGCTGCTGCTGCTTGGGTCGGCACTTGGGGAAAAGCAGGCTGATCTGATCGTTTAGTGGCGGCGATGGTGACAGCAGAGCCTGCGACAGGTTCAGCTGCGGTTGCGGCTGCTGCTGCTGCTGCTGGTAGTTGGAATTGCTGCCGTCGCACTCGTGTTCAAGGCTGCCGTTATTCAGCGCGTAATAGCTGCTGCGTTGCTGACTCGCAGTTGCTGCTGCTGCTGCTGCGTGGGGCTGCAGTCGCTGGTATTGCAACTGCTGCGACTGTTGCTGCTGCTGCGGCGGCTGATGCTGCTGCTGCTGCTGCTGCTGCGGCTGGTGGTGATGGTGGTGGTGATGATGATTACTGCTACTAGTTGTTTGTCCAGCAGCCAGTGTCGTCAATGTTGTGCTGACCATTATTGTTGCCAATAAACTGCAAGGACACCGGAAGGACATCGAATTAAAGACTAATGGAAGTTTAAGTGATGGTTTAAATAGGAGGTAATTATTAACCTTAATTAATAATATTATTTAATTATATTTATCGAATTTTTGGGGCTGTCAAGCTAACACCGCACTGTTAAGCTTGCTTTCCGAACTCATGGTTCAACTAACTAAGGTGGCCTCATTGCAAGTAACTGTTCTCTTCTGAAGAAAGCATGCCAGCTTCTTTCTATCCAAGCGCGAAGAGAGAGAGAGAGAAAGCTGAAAGTATTTAAAGAGTTCACCTTATGACCTGACTCTTGCCTAAAGCACCGCTTGACGCAGATCGCAGAGAGGGAGAAAGGGAGAGTGAAAGCTCACTTAGCCAATTGAACTTTAGAGAGAGATAGATTAATCCCAGGAGACAACCAATCCGATCACCGCCCAAGTTCAGATCCCCCCAGACAGGCGACAGACGACAATTGCTGCGGCTTAAGCATTTCGCACATCGTTTAATAAGCCTTCTTACCCCCTTTGCCCCGATATCCTGCTGAGCTCTCTCTTTTTTTGCCTACACGCTTCACGTCCTGCTGGCAGTTGTTTTAATAAATGCAGGCGCAATGTCAACCTTTGTCATGTCCAAGCGGCAACGGGGCGTGACAGTAACGAGTTCTGCCGCTGCCGCTGCCGCTGCCGCTGCCGCTGCCGCTGCCGCTGCCACTGTCGCAGTCACAGTCACAGTCACAGTCACAGTTGCTGCCCGTCTGGGTCACGTTTCACGGGGGAAAAACAAATGGCGGCCATAAGACAGGCAAATATTTAATTGTCCGTTCCCCACCCCCGCCCAGAAAAGAAAAGAGAGAAAACAGGGAAATTGGAGAAATGGGAAATGCGAAGGGCAAAATTCGAAACACTCGTGCAGCAGCCAATCAATGTCATTGAGTGATTGCCGTCGGTTTGCTGAATTTTAAACGTCGCCTGCGATGGCCGTGCGTTTTAAATTGGATTCAATTTGCATTCGCTACGAGCTTTTTGTCATCTGCCATGCAAATGAGCCACAATGGTGGCCTTTTTTGTCTCTGTTTTGTTTTATTTTATTTTATTTTCTTGTATTGCTGTGGACTGCGTATGGAACTTGGGAACCAAACAGTGTAATATGCAAATGGCGGTCGGTCGGGTTAATATGTAAATAAGCGACAATATTTGGGATTTTGCGGCTGTGGATTTCATGTGGAACTTGTGAGTTTAACACTTTCGTATTGGGGGCAGTTTTAGAATGTGGATTCTATGTGGGAGTTGGTTAAAAAGCGATCTTTACTGACTAGTTAAAGGATATACTATAAAGTCCATGCATAAATGTGGATTCTATGTGGTGAAATTCTACCTAAAAGTAAGCCATTTTAAAGTCCATAAGTGAAGCAATGCAATAATTATTGCTGGAACTGGCTGGAAAATTGTGGATTTCATGTGAAATCACTTCAAACTCTACCTAAAAGTTATTTGTAGTAAAATCTACAATTCATTGTTAAATCGTTACATGTAAATCTATATGTGGATCTTATGTGAAATTATGTTCCTAGTTCGAAATTGACTTTAAAAATGGGAATTGTTGGTAAAATCAATACAAATAATAATTTCTAAACGTTGAAAAATGGAGAACTTTGGAAAGTAAGAAATTTAGGTTTTAAAATCCTCATCAGTATGAGGGAAATACTTTAAGTGACTACATATGTGGATTCCAAGTGGAACGTACGTCTTTGATATTTATTCATTCACCCAAATCAGTAGGTCCCAAAGAAAGTGATTCATCTTGCGAACTCTAAGTGGATTGTGTGTGGACGCCTTGTGGATCTTATGTAAAATAATTTCCTTTCTCCACCTCCCACAATTAAAGGACTCCCTTTAACCGCTTTAAGCTTAACCACATCTCCGAATTCCATTCCACAAAAGCATCCCCGCCACCTAAAAGCATCCATATCCTCACGTTATGCTAATGCGTTTCGAGAGTGTGTGTGTATGGTGTTGTGTTGTGGCATGTGTGTGTACTTGTGCTTGGGGGCTTAAAATATTTTCCCAACAATCAAACTAAAAATTTCGAAAAGGATTAACAACAACAGGAGCAGCAGCAGGCAAAAGGCAGAAAAGCGTAGAAAATACCCACAGGGCACCGCTCATCCATACATATGTACATGTATTTATATATATATGTATATATATATGTTTCTATATATATATGTATATCTACTGTACAGTGGGGATAAGCCCAGCGAACGTCGAAATATGTGGGCCATTGTTGTTGCCGTTGCCGTGCGTCTCGCATCGCTTTGTGCACTCGCATGGAAAATATGTTTTCGTTTTCTGGAATGCCACACAACTGAGCTGGGAAGGAGCGGGAGCAGGAGCAGGAGCAGGAGCAGGAGCAGGAGGAGGAGCAGGAGGAGGTTCAGGAGGAGCACTAGGAGTTTCTTCGTGTGCGCCACACGCTTCGCTTGGCATTAAGACGGAACCTGCCTGATGGACGAAGGACAACGGACGACCGGGTTGGTCTTTCCATAACCGAAATCTACACAACAGCTAACAAGGTATAACAGGAGACGGAGTTGGAGACGGAGTTGGAGACGGATGCGGATAGTCATGGCCATGGCCAGGGCAACATTTTCTTTATGGCTTCACACGACACACGAGCACGGCTAGCTGGGCAAACATTTTCATTGCCCGACATTTATGGGGGTGGAGAGTGGAAAGTGCTGGGCAAAGCCATCTATCTGCCACTTCATCCATCTTTGTAGCTGCTCTTCGCATCAACATCAATCTGTCGCCTCAAATCCGTTTGCATCCAGCTCCCTTCGATGTCTCGCCCCGGGTCTTTAGCCCCATTTTCCACACCAACTCGAAATGGGAACTGGAACTGGAAGTTTGCTCTCCTTTTGGCTCCATCTCTCCCGCTCCTTGTTCTGATGTCATGTTTGGTATTTTTCGGTGCCAAGCCCTGAAATTTGATGCCTTGGCTGCTGTGCTTAAGCAGATCCTGACAGCCTGTGAAAGGATTGCGATTGCCATTCCTTTGATTTACTGGGCAACGCGCTGACACTTAGCTCCCCCCCAAAAGCCTCTTAACCCATTTGACACGGAAAACAAAAAGTAGTAACAATATCACATATGCTTTATATTTTGTTTGTTCTTAAAAATTCTCTAATTTGGTAAAGTCGTTCTATTACCGAAAGTTAAAGGATTAATCCTTGTTTGACCCAATTTAAAAAGCCCAATTATCCTTCTTTTTCTCTGCGTGTGCATCCTCTCGCCTTCTGCCTTTAAGTGATGTCAAGTGCGAGCCATAAAAATTTCATAAATTCACCAGGAGCCCGGAGCACATATGAACACACAGCAACAGCTACCAGATCCACATCCAGGACCTGGTTCAGCAGCATCCTTGTCCTAGACCTGGCAGCTGCATAATTAAGTTACCAGCAAGTGGAGGACCGATGCTGCGCGTCCTTGGAGTTTTATTAACTTAATGTCTGCTTAAACGATGCGTCGCTTGCCGCTCTTTAAATATTTAAAATTAATTTCAACCTTTGCTACATTCTCTCTCCAATGAATCAAAATCAAAATCAATTGCCAGCAGTGCCCACAGTTTGCACCTGATGTGGAGGGATAGGAGAACGAGTACGGGTACAGGGAGCACGTGGTTCCCTGGCCTTAATGCGGTCCTGGGGCTGATACCGTCATTACGGCCACATTGCGGCAGGACACCGACAACGACGTGGGCAATGGGTTAGATGCAATTACCTCTGCCTATGATGGCATTAATTATGCAAAACAACTAACGCTGGAGGAGGTGGGGCACAGGTTTGTGGCTCTGCCACAAAACGGAGGCACAGCTAGATGGGCGTGCCAGTGGCCCTAGGGCACGCAAAGTCCAGAAAGTCCTCGTGTGTCTCGGTGTGTGTGTGTGTGTGTGTGTGGGAGTAGGGCTTTCCTCGACTTCCTGGCGATTGCATGCCGCCGACACCGCCGCCAATGCCGCCAGCAGTGCCGTAAATGAAACATGCAATTTATTTTAACCCAAATCGCTGACTGTTTTTGTGTCCGTTATGCAATTATTTTCCATCCTCGGGGTTTTGGCCAGCCAGCGGGGCGATAAGTACAGCTTTGTCTGCCGATTGAATGCTCACGAATCCTTCATACATAGGTTTTTGTATTCACCCATAGGTAAAGGGATTACTAGCAAGTAATACCCAATTCCAAATGAAACACAAAGCAAAATCTGTTCCAAGATTACAATATTTCTAGGGAATTGTATGAAGTATAATGTATATTGAACATTTACAATAAAATTAATAATAAAAAGTCAAGAAGAGCAGGTCCTTCATTGGATAGTAAATGTAGGCTATCATTTGAAAGATTTAATACAAGTTCAAGGTTTAATGTATTAATTAGCTTATTTATTAAAGAGAAATTAATAAAACATACAAGAAAATAAACTTATCAAATAATTAAGATATAAAATTAATAAAATATACATTAAAATAAATAATATATCAAAGGATATTTCACATGACAAGTATCTATTTTCATTCTTCCTGTTTACATACTGGCCCAAAAAAGTAGGCAATACTTTCTCAATCTAACCGATTTCCGGGCATCCCACAGTCGGGGGGGAGGGCAGCACTCAACCGTTTCGCGAAGCTTAGTTAATACTTTGCAGATATTTTCGCCTGGATCTGCAATTAAGTCTGGGACAGCTTTTGGCTTTCACAGTGAGTGCTGCTCAAGGATTAATTCAATTATGAAAAGAGACAGCAGATGAGGCAAGGGAAAGGTAGAGTGAAAGAGAAAGGGATAGAGTGTATGTGTGTGTGTGTGTGAGAGAGCCATTCGCTCGTTAAGCATTCGTGTGGGAAAATTGTCGCTAAGCGGATTTGAGTGCAGCGCGTGAAAATTGCTGCAATTTGGGTTAAAAACCATTTTGGCTAAGAAAAACCAGCACTGACAACAGCCGGAAAGGCA